ATATCCGTCTTTCCGTGCCATGCTGAAGCATCATGCAGTAGAGGTGACATGCAGCATCTCTACACACACACACAAACACACACACATCTGCATTTGCTCTGTCAGGATTCAGCTTACACTCTCAATTCTCTGACCCAGTTACTACTTTTACCGCCTGCGTCCTCTCCCTGGGGACTACTGGAATAACAATGATGAATGGATCCAATGCACCTAGACAAGGCCAGATGCTCTGTCTACTAAAGTAGGCCCACTCAGGGGAAAAAAAAAAAAAAAGGATTTCACACATCCCACGATACTTTCCTGTTACTGTTGATCTCATTACTGATGCAATATGTGAAAGCAGAGATAGAGACGAACCGCAACTTAAACAGAGGATCCATTCGGCACCGTTTCTCTCCATTCGAGACACACGCATGCACATCCAGCTCTGTAACCACGGTAACACAAGCTACCCATGCCATGCAAACAGCCACCACAGCTGAGCGGAGAACATGCCAACACAGACGACCAATTTACATGCCGATCACTCCTCCCACCGTCAACAGCATCTATCCCCACTGAGGCTTCAGTCATCTCAGAGGATCATAAACAGAATGTGAATACAGCAGCGGTGTGACTTTACGGCTCTATCATTCGTACAGGGCATTTTATTACTTAGCAGACAATAGCTGCTTTTAGGAATAAACTAGAACGGCGGACCAAAGGTTGGTAACCTGTCCAATGATGCTGGGGCAGAGTTTGGTATGTTTGCAGCAACAGCCCAGTAATCAGCCCTTTAAGTCTTTGTGTTTGTGCTCCAGTGTAGGATCCAGGAACTTTGACCCCAAAAACAAATTGCAGTTAGTGGACGCAACTCCGTAACACCATGAGCACGTGGAAATAGAACAATGAAGGTTTGTTATGTTACTTTATATGGCACATTTTATGCTGTTGAGATAACAGAATAAAATGGCACATCTCCTCTTTACGTTTAACCAATCAGCATTCGTCTTCTTCGAGATGAACCAGTCAGGGTCAAGGTCCGCAGAGCAGTTTTACGAGAACCTACCCAAGAGTTCCTTTTTCTCCCACAAAAAATGACCCTGAAATAGGATCTACGTGGGCAGGTTCTGAAGTCAGAACACGCATAAAGGTTAACACTGCCCTAAAACGATTGGTAAGTTCCTGCAGTGGAAAATGGCCCATTAATACATGTTTTTTTAGTCTAAAACAGACACGATGCCTTCTGTAGCTGCTTGTTAAAGCTATTTTCACTGGTCAGCTATTGACCAGAAGGAGCTCCAGCTTCTTTTAGTTTTAGTCAATGAGACGTCTGACGTTTATTGTGTTAAGCGTCTGTCACACTAGAAATTCACCCATGCATCTTTGTGTAGAGGTAGTTGGGAAAGTACTTAACTGACGAGTTAGCTGCCAGAAACATGCTGGTGTTAAGTCTTAGCTGGCCAAGCAGACCAGATTAGGGGATAGACCAAAAAAAAAAAAAATTAAGTGAAGTTATTTTGATTTTTTTGTTTTATGGTTTGTACTATTAGTTGAAATAAACAGGAGAAAATAAGTAGATGACTCACTGCGATGGTATACAAATGGTTCAAATGAGCTTAACCTCACAGAAGTAGAACAGAAAAATACTGCTTCAGCATTAATGACCTAATGATATAGTCATTTAACAACTAGAGGAGAACTTGAATTACTTCAAGTGCATTTACCTGAATTTAAATATATTCTTTTATTAAACTAACATTTCACTCGAGGACATTTTAACTGCAATAGATCGTTTCTACAGTGTGGTATTAGTACAAAAGGACTTCTTCTTCCATCACTGATTTATTGAAGAGCACTTCTACCTGTAAGCGACCACATGGTGTCAGAGAGGGAACAAATGTATTTAATTCCTACAAACAAATCCGAGGTTTCCAATGATTCCACTGAAATTAATTGGGTTTCACTACATGAATGCTGGTATGACCAGACCCTTACAGTAAAGTCCTCAATCAGACCTCTAACTCTAACCCTTGAACTGTGCTCTTATCGCTGTGTGAGAATCCACTGGCAGATTCAGATCAGCTACAATACAAGTATCCAAAGAAAACCTGGCACATGATGCATTCCTGTCTGTTATGCAGTTTCAACAAGAACAGGACTAATGCGTGAGTTAAACGTACGACTGCTGGAGCTCTGTTCTATCATCAAACTGAGAAAAAGACGCCCTGCTGCCAGTGTGATTGTAGTGGGTGACTGAACATTTTGCCAGTGCTTCCACTGAGTGTCTCTGTGGTCTACAGTAGATCTCTCTTTTCTGCTTTACTTTCCCTCTCACACACACAGTCCCCAGATACTTAGTTCAGTTAAATATGAATTTTAACTTTTAAACAAGTTTTGAAGGAGCCTCGTGGTAAACCATTCTGTACAGCGTTTCATACTTTGCTGATGGGCCGCAGTGGGAATAGTGTGTCATCGGTGGAGGAACCTACACATATCCATTTATATGTACAAGCAAAATCCTGTCTCTGCCAAAAACATGCACAGCAGCTCTGCAGTTAATGGAACAGTTGAACAATGACAAAAAAATAAAATAAAAAAATGTAAAAAAGTGCACTGAGGACCAGGAATGTATATGTGAATGTTAAAGCTGAAGGGTGGGGTTAAAAAAAAAATAAGAGACCAGGATTCTGGAAACACAACCAGATGCACTGATTTCCAAAATGGACCACTTATAAAGGCACACACCCACACACATCAGAAACAGTGTCTTTCTCAGTCTATTTCAGTCTGAGCAGACAGCCAGAGGGGAGGATGGAGGGCTTGTTCATTAGACACAATAAGAATTCTTTTCTGGAGCTGCATCTCTTCTCTGCAGCACATTACTTCCACAATGAGAGAACACACCAACGGTGCATTAAGATCATAGGCAACAAAAGGACAGCTGAGTATACAGCTGAGCTTCAATTGTCTTGTTATTCTCTGTAATAAAACGATAGCTGCTGATTATCTGAGAGACAATCCGACAATGAATTGTTCTCCATGAAGATTCCTTTTCATGCATTGATTATGCAAATTAACTCATTTGCGGTTCGCATCTGATTGAAAATAAAGTCTTTACTCATTAACTCTGCTCCCTTTTATCCAGAGCTGAGGAAAGGCAGCAATGCAGTGTTCACTGGTGGGGAGGAGACATGTTTAATCAGATGTTTACGGTGACTGATTTCTGCTTCTTAGAGACCATTTTTCTGATGTATTTTTAAACTCAATCTTACTGGTGGGAAAAAAAAAGATACTCTGCAGGACTGATATTACTTAAAGCCACTATGATATGGATAGCTAGGACTGTTGTGACAAGATCACACTGCACACTGTGGAAATATAGATAATGTTTTTGCCGTAGGACATCCAAATGCACATGTCTGGCCAATTATATCCCACTTGTAGTTCCAAGTCGTAAATTAATGGTCAAGAATAGATTTATGATTGGCAGAGTTAGCTATTTGCTCCAAATTACAAGTGATGTAACATACACTGCATTTAATGAGCCCGTTAGTAGGAACATCTGTACGTCTACTTATTGTGGTGACATGAACAGTATCTCGGATTGAACATCACGTCCAACCTTCAGGTCGACAGGTCACAAAAGCAGAGACGACCACGTCAGGTCAGAAATGTGAGGCAGCAGTGGGCACAGGCTCACCAGCACTGAACAGCTGAGGATGGAACCATTTATCCTGGTCTGATCAAGAGGCTGCAGATGTTAGCTCAGAATTTGGCATCGACAGCATGACTCTGTGTCTTGTGAGGGGAATGTTTTCCTTAAACACTTTGGTTCCCCTTAATACCAACAATCATGGTTTGAGTATTGTTGCTGACCATGTGCATCCCATTAAGGCCACAGTGCATCATCTTCTATTGGCTGCCTCCAACAGATTAATGCACCATCTCACAAAGCAAAAGTCAAACTGGTCACATGAACAAAACCAGTGTGCCATCATTTTGAGAAAAAAACTAAACAAAACAAAGCGCAAAAAAAAAACAAAAAACCAACAAATAAAAAACAGGTCATCTAACTGAACAAATAAAATATTAAATAACTGTAAATCCTACAGTACCACTGTGGGCCACTCAAGGTAGAGCATTTAAATTAATGCAAATAGTGGCTTTAAGTAGAGAACTAGGATCATGTTGAGGTTTTGGTGAGTCTAAATTGTCTGGGAGGGGCTGCAAGGTGGAACGGTGGTTAGCACTGTTGCCTCGCAGCTAGAAGGTCGCTGGTTCGCGTCCTGGTGGGGGCACCGGGATCTTTCTGTGTGGAGTTTGCATGTACTCCCCATGCAGCATTGGTTCTCTCCGGGTTCTCCGACTTCCTCCCACACAGTTCAAAAACATGTTGAGGATAATTGGTGATTCGAAATTGTCTGTAGGTGTGAATGTGAGTGTGCTTGGTTGTCTGTCTCTAAGTGTAGTCCTGTGATAGACTGGTGACCTGTCCAGGGTGTCTCCTGCCTTCACCCTGAGTCAGCTGGGATAGGCTCCAGCCCCCCGCGATCCTAGTGAGGATTCAGCGGTGTATAGATAATGGATGGAAATACTTTATATATTTTTTACTATCTAAAACTTACAAGAATGCAGAAGAAGAAACTGGCTACAGTGTATAGTAAGAAACCTAAGACCTTTCACAGGTGTTTCATTTTTCAGCATTATTTCTATGCCTTACTCTCTTCATTTGAACTGCTCAGTTTGAACATGTAGGAGAATTACAAGAGCAGCCTTAGAAAACCTTGAAAGGATGCTGGGAAGCATTGAGAGCAGCTCACATTGTGCCATGAAAGCTCTCTAATAATAGATTTAAAAAAAAAAGATGTGCACACAGACACACACAGAGAATCAAACTGAGGTGAAGAACAAAAAGGAAATAAACAAGTATGAAAGAGAAGAAAAGAGTGAAAGGCCATGATTGGTGGATGAGGATGACCAGGTGGCCTGAGCAGAGAGAACTGTGGGATATCTCTTACCAGGCTTTTGCACCCCATGAGCTTCCTTCTCTCCATTCTCCAAAGTAGTACCCGCGTCTGCACATACGTACACACACATACACACAAACAAGCAAACACATTACTCCCTATGTGAACGTTAATGGCTTGACGAGATAGAAAACTGCACCGTACTGGTTTATGCAGCAGAAGCATGAGTCAGGAATCAAATGGAAACCACTGACTCTGGTTTTTTCAGGCTTTTCAAAGGACACCTCGATATTGTTGTTGTTGTGTACGTGTTGTATATGTGCCTCGTAGTACCACTCCAGCCAGTTACGGTCAGACTGGGGCACGCAGGCAGACAGCAGCAGCATTGGCTGGTGTCAGTGGACGATGCTGAAGGAGGTGATGCTGTGTGACATCTGACCGCTGAATCACTGCACTTTGTTTATCTAACAGACACACACATACACTGGCAGATAACACACAAGCAGCATACTGTATCAACACACAGCTTCACAACGAGACCCAGACCCACACAGAGTGCACAGAGAGGTGCAGAAATATACATGCACAAACACAGCGTTGATTAGAGCATGGACGGTCCATGTCAGGAACAAGTTTTACTGAGTCTGGCTCTTTGGGTCGGACATTTGCAATCCTGGATTACAAGTATGACCAAGTTGGTTATCGTCAGTTTGTAGAATAGGATGAAATGTTTTTTTGCGTCACCAAAACTGAAATTCAGTGAGATAAAGGACACACAACTTAGTCACAAAACTAGAATACAATAATCAGCTGCAGAAACATTATGAGTGATGTCCAGATAATAAAAAAGAGGCTGTGAGTAGCTGTAGTATTTCGTCTTTAGTCCTCTGAACTCCAAGCTGTTTCTGGGTGTTTTGTGATCCTGTCACATTTTTCCTCTCTGTGGGTTCATTTTTCACTGCAATATAAAGTCCTGCACCTCTATGGAAACAACACAACCATGGCTAGAAGGAGAGAGAAATCAAAAATGTTTGTTGTGCAGTAGGACAAAGTTGACATAAATCATTAGGACAGGTATAGCAAAAGTTAATTATGTCTGATAATAATAATTATAGCTTTGGTGTAAATTCTTTATTTTGGGGATTTTTTTTATTTTTATTTTTTTTTTAAATCAAGTATGTAGAGTAAAATGATTTTTGATTAAACATCCTGATTTTAGGATTAGATTTGAATGATGTCCCTGATGGAACAGTAGATCAGAGATGGTTACTTCAAGGACCGCAGAAAAGTTACATTTTGGACAACTCTTCCTGTTTTCACAGTTTTGTACAATGACAAATTTTGTCATTTTGCTCATTTAAAAAACCCATAAAAAATGTGCCTTTCAAATGAGTTTTGGGGTTCAGATGATTAAATGCAGAGTGGACACATATGTGTGTTTTAGCCATTTCTTTGGTCTCTGATGTAATATCATCATGGCAGGCGAAGGGATTCTACGAAGCAAGACGAGCGTCTATTTCTTGTAATTACTTTTCATTTGATTGCAAACTGGACTTTTCCAGTGACTGGGTCGACCAGTAGTTGGGAATTTGAGAGATTTTGAGTCAGTACTTGGAACTTATTGCGGGAGCTGGGCTGAATAAGTTACCATGGTGATATTAACTGTGAGACGGTTCTGTGATGGAAGAAAACAAACATTGTCATGAAAACAGCTGGTTCATCCACTGATCTTGTTCTGTGATCCAGGCTTCAGGACAGATTATTTCTATGACAAAATGCATGCAGACACCAAAACCAAAGCCATTCTGCGGTCAATGCATGCAAAGCATACTGTACGGATTATACTACACACACTTGTTAACACACAAACATAGAGCTGAACATGTAAGCATGCAAAACCCCAAACCACAGGTAAGAGCACACCAAGAAACAAACACGGTTATTTGTATCCACAAAAACAGTTCACACTGGAACACACATGAGGCATCATGAGCGCCCGTGACATGTGCATCAGAGCTGGAAAACAACAAGTCAGAGAGGGAAAAAACAACAACAAAAAAACAACAACAAATGTGTGCCTCCTCCGTCTCACTCTCCTGCTGACAGAGGACAATAACTTGCGGACTGCCTCGCCCTGCTGTTTGGCACTCGGTGTGTCAGCATGTCTGCGTTTGTCCAAATGCACACAGTGTGCCACAGTTGATCACTGGCAACACCACCCACGGCCCGTCCTGCAGCCGGCTGTCACTGACGAGTGCCCACACACAGTCTGACTGTCTGACCAAAGTGTCTGGGTAACCAAAACAGGCCCGAAAGCTGAGTCATCCTCGGTTAACTGTCACTTCTTTTTATCTGGTTATGTGCTCAGCTGTTTATTTGACTCTTCTACTGTATGTTTATATGTGTACTTACCTCCTTATCTAACAGTTGATGTGCTTTTATACCTATCTCAGCCACATTTTAGTGCTGCATGGTAAGTTAGCAACATGCCATCTTCAGTGACTCCGTAGAGATTAATGAGCAACAAGTGATAATTATCACCACTGACTAGAAACAACACTAAAGCTCTTGGCCTCTTCATTATTCAGAAAATAAAACACAGACTCCTGGGATTTGAATGTGAAGTGCCTGTCTATTTCTAGCCAGTGTCTGTCCAGCAGCTGTTTAATTTCTCTTACAGACCTGATGGTTGCTATAATAACACAGAAACAATAATAAAGTGATTTATGATCTGGCTGCAGAACAATCAAGAACTGTCGAAGGAAGTCTATCCAAAGATGGTGTTCCATCAGCCAAAATTTAGAAAAATGTCACACCAAAAAACAAAATCCAAACTGATTGCCAAACAGTACAATAGTCGTCTGGTACTATAAAATATCCGACAAGAATGTATTTACAAACTTTACTTTACTTACTGAAATCACATTCAATTTAGAAAAAATCCCAAATCAATACAGGTTTGCTTCCAAAAACAAATATTCAAATTATTTCAGTTTTATTTATATACTGTGAATTTACATGATACGACATGATGGCACTTCACACAATAAAATATGAAAAACTTAGGAAAATGCAGTGCCCTTCATGTTGGCCTCACTGCACAATGACAGGCACATTGTCGGCAATTTGACATGTTCAATATATAAATAACATCTAATGATTCACAGGCATCTGAGGCACATGACCAAGATTTCGTTCGAACCCTTTCTTGAACCAGGCACGTTGGTCAAGGGCACATTCCTTTTAACAGGAAGGGCCTCAGACAGTATGTCGATGGATTATCACCTTGAAACCAGACCGTGACCACTGAGTACCTTCTCTGAGGCAGGAGGGGTTTTGAAAACTAACTGCTCAGAGAGAGAATACAGTTTCCTGTGTTGTCTCCACATTTTGCCAGTTGGCTGGGATGCTCCGAGCAGTGACCGCTACTCTGCTTTTCTTCAGGCTACTGTCTGCCCTGCGGCTGAATGACACCCCAGCAGATCCAAAATGGCAGCCAGTGTCGAGCAGTGCCTGATACCATCAGTCATTTAGGAGCAGGTGCAGCTCACGTTACATAACAGACTCACTTATGGTTCAGCATAGAATAAACCAGACACTAATATACAGTATTACACATTATAATGGCAACACAATGACATTATGTGTTGTAGTGTCACATTTCTACTCTTCTTCAAGGTTGCACTGATAACTATTTTTTAAATTACCAATGGACTAGAAGTATAGTATGAAGGGGTTGTTCCTTTGTATTGAACAATAGGGGACATAGTCTGTATATTATGTGGAATTACAGACACCAGACAAAGCTGTGTGGAAATGAGGGACAACACCTTGATAAACCCAGTGTGAGCACCTCCGCAGCAGACAGATGGTCTTAGGAACTACTTAAAAGACACAGTGGAGCATTAAGCAGTTAAGCAGATGCTAAAAGGAGAATATGATACCCCCAAAAATGACATTGTTGCTTCATGCATGCAGGATGTGCATGAACGGATGGACGTGTGAACTCTTTTACAACAGTGTATAGTGATAAAATATAAGTCCTCACTTTCTCTAGCCATTCTGTCTATCTTGTCGTATCACCTTTAACACCTTGTTGTGGTGCCACCGTCATAAGAACAAACAGAAGTGAGGAGTGACTCGTAACTCGAACTGTTCTTGCTCTTGTCCTTGTCAAAAAGTAAAAGTCACTGCTTCAAAGAACCCGATCCTCTCGGGAGTCAGTTGGCAACATCCAGCATATTCAGCACTGTCCAGCCTTCTCACTGTCTCTCATTAGAGCGCATAACAGATTAATTAGCGACACTATACTGTCACCGTCAGATCGTTCTCACCTGCCCTGGTGTCATCGTTGTCCAGTAGGGGGATGTAGTCCGTCTTTCCCACCGTTTCCCCGACCTGATCGTCGAAGGTCTCCGCCTCCAGCTGAGCCACAAAGTCCCTCTCCACCAGGCTTTCTGGGCCCGGCTGGGGAACGCTGTCCGTCAGCGCATCGCTCAGACTCAGGTCTAACTCCGCCATGGCTGCACAGAGACACGGGGAAAAACAAGGGCACCGTTAATATGTTGTCACCTGATGATGCTGTCCAGCTCCAAACCAAAGAACTATACGCTGCGAAGTCATGAAGGTTTTTTTCAGGGCCGAGCTTGAAACTAATTATTAGCACTCACAAAGATCAATGACTTATATTAGAACTGATGGACATTTGCATTAAAAATGAAAATCTTGGAGTCTAATTTAGAAAAACACAAACTCCTAACACAAAGCTTAGTTGAAATACCTCTGTTTTTTGATGTTTTCAATCAGTTCAATTAAAACAGAACTTCTTATCATTTATATTTCATTGCTGAGACAGACAGAAAGAGGCGGCTGTATCCGAGGCAAAGCGGCAATTTACTTTATCAATAATCAGAAAAATATAGGATACTGGATCTGATTATAATCGAGGCTGAGAATCGGTCAAAACTTAATTCACAAACAAGAATGCTCCTGAAAAATAGTATGAATATGTTGATAAAATGTTCAGTTAAATATAGTCTAATTTCAATCTCAGAGATGCAGCGGTTACTAGACTTTGGCAAACTAGAAAGGGAAAGAAACAGAATGAAGCTGAAATGTAAAGATAACGATAAAAGAAGTGGAGAGAGGAAGGAGGTTAGAGAGATGCAAATGGAGTGGCGTAGTGGATAAAGGAAGTGAGAGGGCAAAATCAATTTAAATGCAAGACTCACACAATATCAACAGAACACAGAGAGTCCACTAAAGCCCACTGCATTACATTGCATTATAACGTCTCTAGTGTTTTGGAAATCTGACAACTACGCTTTTTAAAAACAGTTTATTGCTTTTGTCAAGATACAGATTTGTGCCCTAAGGTGGCATCAAACCGGAGCCAGACTCGGTGATGGTATCATTCATCCTGCTGACGTGACCCTGAGCAACACACTGCATGTCCACCAGCTGTCAGGCCTGGGTCTGACCTCTGACCTCCTTGGAGGGCATCTTCTGGTCGCTGACGATAACCGACATGTAACACCGCTGTCTACCACAAGGGGGCAGAGTTTGACCTGGGACTGTGTGCATGAAAGGAACCAATGACCTGGAACAACATAGAAGCACAATCTGTACCGAAACATGAACACACAGACACACACACAGCCAAGCAGTCATCAGCTCATCTGGGGGTTCAGCTGACCAATGGCCACCAGGAGAATCTGCAGAGTCATGTTGTGTCATCTTCCAACTATAATGCCAGATTATCTTCGGTGCCAGCAGCAGTCAGCCTTTCTCTGCTGCTCAGACACGCTCTGCTTTTATCCATCTCATCTCCATCTTTACAACCCTGCCTGTGTTATCTACATTTAACATTTCTGCCTTAATTAAATCATAATTTCCTTGTGATGAAACAGCAAGTTAGGGGTCAGGGTCTTGCAACAGGACAATACAAGAGATCCACCTTTGAGTTTGTTTCCTTTCTACCTGACTGAATTGACAGCCGCACTCATATCATCACATACAAATTAACTCTTACGTTGTAACCACCAGCATATCAATGGATCTAACACTATTAACTGGAAGATGCATGTACTGTAATAGATTTCCATTAAAAAGACACATCGTTATTCTCAAACGGAGGCAGTCAAAGCACAAATGCAACTCTCTATCACCATCTGCTGGATTATGTGTTCACTCACTGCAAAGAGAACAGGTACAGGTATAATACTAAAAGTACTTCTGGTCGTATAATTGTGCAACGAGGTTGTTTATTTAGAGTCTCAAAGCTACACGGCCTCCCACAGTCAACAACGACACCCTTCTACAGACTGGACTGATTTGGGTTTGGAGGTTGAACATGTTGTACATAGTTAACCGCTAACTGGCAATATGTGCACAAAACAATGGCAAAAAGACACTGTATACCAGAAGTGTGTGGTCTTACAGCACACTGAGAGACTACAACGGGGGTTTCAAATGCCCCAATAAACAGTGCAAAGACAACCTTGCAAACCTGACAATTTGGAAATAATTATTAGAACATCTGTAGTTTTCTTTATGAAGTATACATATTTAAAAACATGTAATAAAAATGTAAAAACTCCAAAATTCACAGCAGATAGATTAAAAAAATAGATTTTATGTAAACTCAATAGATAATCCAAACTAAGACAGCATTCGACAAAAGAGAACTGTGGAATGACGAACAGAGACGGTCATCTTGGTGCTTAACAAAAAAAGGACACAGTTAGACAGTCACTGGAAATCAGCAAAGCAGCTGTCCATTACAACCTTCAGAAGGAAATACAGTACGAGTTGTTAGACGAGGCAAAGAATGGTGGTCACCGGCCGCCGCTATGGCTCACCCGGTTGAGCTGGCGACCCATGTACAGGGGCTATAGTCCCCGATGCAGCGGTCATGGGTTTGAATCTAGCTCATGGCCCTTTGCTGCAAGTCCTTCCCCAATTCTCCTCCCTCACTTTCCCGTCTCTCTCTTCACTGTCCAATATAATAAAGGCAAAAAGGCCAAAAAAAATAAAAAAAATTACAAAAAAAAAAAAGAATGGTGGTCACAGCAGTCTAATAATGATTTTCAAAACTGTAACCCAGTCCAAAACACGTTACTGATACCAACACAAAAAGCACACCAGCATAACATCCATAATACTATTTTATAGGAATTTAATAGAAGCTGGTAGCAGAACACATCAGTCATGGTAATCTCCATGTATAAACTGTACCACTGAGTAAACGTGCAGCAGACTGTGTGTAACCAGCTGACGGCCTTCCTGAGATCATCCTCCACATTTAGCTGCTTTCTCTATTGATTGATTGACTTGCTGGTTTCTGAAACCCCCCTCACTCCCTCAGCCTGACTGCTGCACACTGCTAGGGTGGTCTTTTTTTTTTTTTGCTTTGACTTTAAAGCATATTGAATCATGTGTTTGTGGCTCATTTATGATTGACACAGTAACAGATACTTTGGCTGCACTTTGCTGGTTTTAATTTCTGTACACAGCACGACACCTTGTCATTATTTTTAACTGGATTTCTTGAACAGTGTACACCAGCAGAGGGAAAAGTGCACAGCTTCTTCTCCTGTACAGACTTTGTTGTGGCATGTATACAGCAAAACTAGCTTTTCTTGCTTGCTTAGGTCAGTCCCAAGAAAGTCTATGGCTATATGCATAATTACCTCCTAATCACTGTGGTGCATTTACTGTCCACCGTTTGATTTGAGTGTCCAAATTACTTTCCAAAGTACTTCTAATCACTATATACTACCCCAAAGAATCTTATAGTAGAACAAATACAATTTCATTTAATAATCTCACAACATAATGCATTTTAAAGATGAGAAAACTACCAACTGATAATAATGATGTGTGTCTAAAATCTCAAATTGCTGCTCACTATTAAGTTTACATTACAAGGTGAGCAGTGAATGAGTGAACAAGTGGGTTACTTCAGACAATATTTGATGAAGCTGTCATCATCAAATATTAAATGAATCAGTACTGTCAACAGATGTAGGTATTTATACGCATTAAAACTAGAATTTTGTTGGTCAGAGAAGTGATCGTCTCTATCAAATAGGGCCCTCGGTGTTAATAAGGAAGCGTATAGAAAACAAATGCGGTACAGTGAACAATAGGCAGTTTCTGAATGAGGAATATAAATAAACTATATGTAGGCGTGCTCATTACACGCCTGACTAGCAGTATATCAGCAGCAGTAAATCAGCCCCCAGTGTAGAGACCAGGGTGTGTCACAGGAAGACTGCTGCCTTCACCACAAAGCCATGCTGGTCAGAAACACTGCCCCAGTTTCCATATTTAACCCCACATCATCTGTGTGTGTGTGTGTGTGTGTGTGTGTTTAGAATATGCTACGTCATCTGTGCCAGCTGCACTGTTAGCAAGCTGTGCTATACAACTAGGCCGACAATGTGGTCACATTCAGTGGAGGATGAGACCTGTGGCAGCAATCTGAGTATTGTACAAGTCTGTGTTTGTTGTCCATGCTGTCTTCAACTGCTTCTATTTCTACAGCGGGTCCCCGCATGACCACAGGAGCAGAACCTTTTCATTAGTCTGGGTTCTACAGTGGGACGGATTTGGATCCTGGGATGAAAAGAAAAAAAAAGAAAAAAGTCAGAAAACATGAGTTTTTTTTTTTTTTTAAACCCCAGAGAGGTGCCATAGTTGAAACCGAGCTTCTGTTTTCCACCTCCTGCAGCTCGCAACTGTGGTGTGGCCACTCGGAAATAATCTGGATTCAACAAAGGAAGGAAATCCACGGAAAGGGCAGTTTCTATTGTGTCGTCTGCTAACAAATGTTTGAGTGTGTGTGTGGATTAGTCATGAGTGTGTGTGTGTGTGTGAGGTCTGTGTGTGTGTAAGCCGGAATGTGTATATGTGTGTGTCCGCAGGGTGGTGGGTGTGTGTCCCCCGGCTGCCAAAAAACCAGAGGTGAAGGTTAAGCCTCTTCCTAATCTGCTTCCACACCACTATTGTATGTAAACAGTAATGCACTATGACAGGCACACATGGGGATGATAAAGCAGCAAAAGGATTCAAGTATCCTGTCAGATAACGGTTCATGAAAGAACTGGGGCTGACAAAAATGATAGATCGCAATTTCTGCTGCCAATATTATGATTATAATTTAAATTTCCATTGTACAGATTTGTATTTCTGAGTGTGCAAAGCTTTCTAAAAATTTATCAAGTTTCTACATTACATGAATGATTTCAATATTGCCGTATCTTGTGATTTATTCGAACCTTGGCAGGACCCCAGTCCAGCTCTTACAGTGGATGTCAGTGTGATGGGTGACATAACACATACTTAAGTTCTAATCCAATAAATCTCTTTGCATTTTTCTCCTCCTGTTCCTTTAATATATGACAACACAATGTAATGTCATGCTTGATTAATCCCCCGGGAGGTTGGGGTCAGCAGCCTGAGAGCCTGTCCATGTCTTAAAGACCCCTGAGCTGGCTGGATCCTCTCTGAACCCAGGAGG